GAATGAACAAGATTCCAGCACTGGATCTCAGAGAATGCCTTACTGCATGCTCATTGGAAACAGACCTACGATGCACTGCGTAGTGTTAACACGTGGGAGGTTAAGTGTGAGCTCTCAGGCCCTTTGATGTGCTAAATACCAAGGACTTTAACGTAATAAAACTGTAAACCTCAAATCAGGGCTAATCACACTAATTTGCTGAACTCCGAAACCAAACCGAAAACGCTCTTTTCTTCTTAAATTGAACCACAAATCCAAGTTGTTTTGATCTGCAAATCAATCTAACAAAAGATTTGAGGTGGCTTACGAGAAATACGTGCAATAAAACAAAAATCTAGCTAGATAAAAACCAGGATCAGGAAAAAATATCAAAACCAGAGGGAACATTACAACATCGATATACAAGATGTAGGCAGTAATTTAAGTTGAAGCAGTGAGTTCCTGAGCCCCAGGCACCCAGAGCAACATGGAAGACCCGTTAGTTATACAGCATGTGTTATCCATAAGGAGAAATCACTTAATCATTTCTAAACGCAAGTTAGCCAGTTTGAAACAACAACAACAAAATCTCTTCTGATGGAGTGTGGGGGCGGGGAATTCAAATTCTCTGAATCACACTTCAAAGTATTTCATTTCAAGATCCTATTTCAGGCATATAAAAGCTTTGGAATCACCAACTTCTTTATCATTTCATTTCTATTTTCACCAGCAATAACCTTTCTCAAAGTCATCACAGAGGGGCCAGAGTTTCCTTGTTTGATTTTTGCCTTAAGTTCTTTCAAGCCATATTGCCTTTGTACACGACCTCATTGTTTCAGCTATTAAAGGAAATTTGCACGGGTGTCTCCAGGGAAAGGAGAATTCAGGAGGTCAAGTGTGGTCCTGTACTGTGCTGTGGTTCTTCATCCCCAGAGAATCCCCTTCAAAAGTTTGGATAAACTGAGGAAATTTCCTGGGGCGGAGGGAGGGGGTTTCTGACACTGAACTATTCTTCCAGATGTGTGAGTGTTCTGAGGGTGCGGAGGGTCTGAGCTTCCTGCTGCAGCCTCTCTGAGATGTGGGGGTTGGGCTGGACCTGGGTGAATGTAGTACCTTCGTAAGTATTTTCATGTCCTGAAGTCAGTGCTCCTGTATGCACAGGGGTGAAAGGCTAAACATCTCTAATCAGAGGCAAGAGCAGGTTATAGACCACACAGGTGGAACTGGGTTCAGATCTAGATATCTGGGCTGTATAGACAGTCAGATGCCAAGTGTTTGTAAACACTTAGAATAACGCCAACACTCTCTGGGTGGAGAGTCTTGCTGTTCACACTCTGCTAGATTTTCTACAACAAATACACACAGCTTTACCATGACCCAAACCCAACAATTACTCCTGTTTTCCTTCCTAAACAGTCATTCTAAAATAGCCCAGGGGCCTCAAGTCTTTCCACACTGGGAAACTGTACAACTCTCATCTCACTACACTTTCTCTGTGGATGATTACACTGCGGCCAAGATTTACTTAGGGCTGTACACTGCAGGTAAAGTATCCTGCAAGGTCCACCTTTAGGGGAGATTGGAATTGGTTCTTGGATTTGCATTCTCTGTATTGCTTTGGGGACTCCGATCAGTTTGCAAATACTGTTGAATTAAAAGAGAGTTTCAATACCCACCGAGTAATTTGTCCTTACCCATCTGCCCGACTTCAGAAATAAATTGGCTTCTCTTGAATGACTCTGACACTCCTCTGGTCCTCCCCACCCCCATCCCTCAGGGCAGCCCCTTTTCAAGAATTTGAGACATGAGAAGAAAAGCCAAGAGCACAGAAGAGCTTCTCTTCCAAAACAGTAAGTTCATGGGCGCCCTGTGTCTGCATGTGCAGGGGTGGTTGTGTGCACACTCAGAAATGTGTTTAAAGGTGTCCATGTGTATGGGTATTTATGCAGCTAATGGGTACTCACTTCTCTGGTACCAGATGCAAAACATCCTTCCTCTCAGTGGTCAGTAGTAGGAGTACCTCAGAGTGAAAAGATGAGAAACTCCCTGCAGAGGACCCAGTTAATGTAGGCTGCACGAATGGACCCCAAAGGCTAAAGGTTTGACCCCTGAGTAGGGGTGTTCAGGGCTAGTGAGACTTGCAGTGGAAGATTCCCAGGTGGTTGGGCACCTACTTTTGGAGGGCGTGTGGAGACACTGGCCCCTCACTGTTTGACTGTTTTTCACTCTTCCCTGGAGATGTAGTCATCTAGGCTCCATGTGAGTCAGGAGCTGAGATCTGGTTGCTTTTATCTGGACAAGAATACTGGGAGATTGAGTCAGTTTCAATCTGGGAAATGGGGAATCCATAACTCTAGTGACCCCACAAAGCCTGGCAGGTGCTGCCACTCCCACCAGGAAAGCAGGCAGGGGGTCAGAGTTTGTCTGCAGCTTGGGTAACTTGGGCAATTCAGGCCCCTCAATGTGGGAAAGTCCCATACTTCAATGTACTCAGTGTGGGGGGTCTCTGCACCAAAGCAGGAGATAATGGAGGGGCTACATGGGAAGGCTGTGCCCATACAGTTGGGCCCCCTCTTCCAGAAGAGGAAGTTTCCATTTCATCTGAAGTCTTCTTGAAGCTTTGAACCTCCAAGGTGAGGGGTAAAGTCTTAGTCCCCTTTCTCCCAGAAGTCTCTTATTCTATGGAAACTGCTCCAGCTCTTTCCTCTTGGCCTTCAAGCCTCGTGCATAGAGGGGGAAAGAGTGGGTCAGGAAAGCAAGTCCACTCAAAAGCTGACGTCCTGTGTGTAGAGGAAGATAAATACTCCAAACCCAAGCCTGAATGCTTATCCCAGCCCATACCATTGGAAAAACAAGTCAAGCACTTTTGGCTTAAACACAAAAGAGCTTTCCCCTAAGAACAGAACTGGCTGACAGAGTTTGCTTTAAACACACACACACACACACACACACACACACACACACACACAAGAATACAACAATAAAAATAGACCATGCATCAGTAATAACCCCAGTACATGTGTCCCTGAACACATGTCCATGAGCATACTTAGAGCTTAACGAGCGCCATATACATAGCAGGCACTGTGCCAAGCGCTGTATCTGCGATACATTCTTCAATTCTCCAAACGTCCCAGCGAGCTCAAACCTGCTCTTGGCCTTGTTCTGTGAAAGTGAACTGAGGGGTAAGGAGGTGGAGAGAATTTAGCCAAGGTCAGGCAGCCAAACGCAGTTTTGAAGTCAAAACCAAACCCTTATTTTGTTACTGGAAAGTCTGATCCATTTCATCACTCAACTGTTCAGAACTTCAGATTTACAGAAAAGTTAGACAAATAGCACGAGATTCTCCAGTGGAATCCCCACCCCACTCTCTTCCCTGAGCCTGCATACTTCCTCTTGGTGCACCTGACTTTAATGGGGTTCTTTTGTCAGTGAACCAGTGTTAACAGGTTGCTACTATCAGCTCGAGCCTGAAGTCACTTGAGTTTTACTGAACATCCCTTTTCATCATCCCGAGGACCCGTGTGATCCTGTTGCTATATATCCTTAGGCTGTTCATGGCTATGACAGTTTAGTTAACTCCTAGCCTGTATTTTAAAGGGGGCCTATCATTGCAGTTTCTATGACACTATTCTCCTGATTAGCCTGGAGTTATGGGGCCTGAAGGAACAATCACAGAGGCAAGATGCAGTCTGTATCACATCCTGTCAAAAGCAGACACTCCAGCATAATTCCTGAGTATCAATGACCTTCACCATAGCCAGTCACGGCCCAGAGGGAAGGCATTGAGGTCAGGGATACAGCCTGCCAGCCCACTTTGTTCCCCTAAACTGTCTATATAGGGGGCTACCAAACATCACTCTGTTCACATGGCTCCAAGCATTTGGATCCAGTCCCCAGACTCTAGATCTGGGACTTAGCAGGCTTTTATCCAGCTACTCAAGATGGTCTATTTGTCCTAGTTCATTTTCACTGTCATCTTGGCACAGCCTGGAATGGAGTCTCAGTGTAAGAACTGCCTCAATCACACTGGCCTGCAGGTGTGTCTTGGTGGGGTGGTCTTGATTGTTAATTGATGAAGGAGGGCATAGCACACTGTGGCAGCACCATTTCCTGGGCGGTGGTCTTGGACTGTGTGAGAAAGCCAGCTGAGCATGAGACTGTGAGTGCACTATCAAGTAGCATTCTTTCATGGCTGCTTCAGTTCCTGCTTCACAGTTCCTGCCCTGGCTTCCCAATAATTTAAAAGAAACCCCTTCCTCCCTGTGGCAGTTTGAATAAGAATGGCTCCCATAGGCTCATATATTTGAATGCTTGGTCATCAGGGTGTGGCACTATTTGAGAGATATTAGGAGGTGTGGCCTTGCTGGAGTAGGTGTGGCCTTGTTGGAGGAAGTTTGTTATTGGAGGTAGGTTTTGATCTTCAAAAGCCCAGGCCAGGCCCAGTGGCTCTGTCTTCCTGCTACCAGTACATCCGGTTGTAGAACTCTCAACTTCTCCAGAACCATGTGTACCTATGTGCTGCCATGCTCCCTGCCATGACATAATGGAATAAACCTCTGAAACATTAAGGAAGCCCCAATTAAAGCTTTCTTTTGTAAGAGTTGTTGTGGTCATGGTGTCTCTTCACAGCAATGGAACAATGCCTAAGACACTTCCCCAAGTTGCTTTTGGTCAGAGTGTTTTATCTTGGAAACAGAGATGAAACTAGAAACCCACCTCTCCAGTTCCTTTCTATTTTAATTATCACAGACATACCAGGTTAGAGAGTCAGGACTCAAGAAGGTGGCGATGAGGTCTTCAGCTGTAACAGTCCATTGCCTGATGGATCGGTTTCTCTATCTACTCAGCTCTTAAAACCTTCATGGCATCCAAGTCTGAGCTATGAGTAAAGCTGCTGTAACTATTCATGTGCAGGCTTTTGTGGGACATTAGTTAAAAAAATAAATAAATAAAGCCAGGCTGCACAGTTGCCGAATCCCACGGCAAGAGCATGTTTAATTTAGCAGGGAGCTGACGGCCTGTCTTCCAGGGTGTCTGTGTCTCCTGAAATTCCATCATGAGAGCTCTAGCTCTGCATCCTCACCAGCTTGGATAGGACCGGCTGTGTGCACTGTCATCTCTGTGAGGGATTCAGATCTGGACATCACAGCAGGGCCAGCAAGATGGCCCAGTGGGTAAAGGTGTAGCCAAGCCTGATGGACTGAGTTTGATCTCCTGAACCTACAAGGTGGAAAAAGAGAATAAGTTGTACTCTGACCCCACACATACACACACACACACACACACCAAAACTGCTCGAAGGAGGTAGTCACTCACTTCTTCCTTCATCCCTCCCTCCCTTTCTTCCTCCTTCTCTCCTTTCTTCCTTCAGAAAATCCTATCCAGTTCCTACTACTCCAGATATGATGTCATGGGCCCTACAGTGTGGTGTAAGAGTCAGGTCCCTGAGGCTCCTAGCCAGATTGAGAAGTTCCTCTCTGGGCCTCAGCCTCTTGGTTTGTAAAGTCAAGTGACAAACGTATGGTCCAGGAGACCTCCACTTCTGACAGCTAAGGTAGATCCCTACTAGTAGACTTGTCTGAAGCAAATCCTCCCAGTCTTCCATTTCCTTGTCTGTGAAATGGGCTTATGCCAAACAACATCTGCTTTACCAGGCTCTCCCGAGAATTAATGAAGGATTATATGGAAGTCATTAAAAGACCTGTACCGAGCACAGTCAGTGCTCGTTATTCATGGAATTATTTCTACTTTCTGACACCTGCCACTTGCCTTTGAAGGCCCCTGGAGACAGGCACTCTGGAAATAAGCTACAAAACCCCGCAGGACTGTTCGGGAGTGGGTAAAAGGAAGAAATCCAGATTTTGATGAAAGAACAAGAACCTGAGTCTGCAGAGGAACCGGAGAGGGGAGGAGGAGGGGCCAGGAGTAGTGGAGGCACCCCAGGAAGCCTCCCGGGAGGTGGGGTGGGGTGGGGGACTGGGCCTGCGTCTTGCCCTTCGAAGAGCTTGCGGTGGCTGGGGCTGTGCTGGGGGTGCCGAAAGGTGGCCGTGTGGGTAAGTCCTTCCAGCTGCGTCCAGGTAATCCCCCGACCTGGCGCAGGAGAGATGATACCCCCTGAGGGCCAGGCCTGGTCCAGTGCAGGATGCTTGTCCTGTGAAAGCGCTCAGCCGGCCTCGCGTTTCGCAGCGCTCAGGTCCAGCATGAATCATTCCTTTTTGAACGTGTCTAAATGTGTTTATAAAATAAAGCTGCGGCCCAGGGCTGCTCCGGGCGGAGCGGGAAGGTAATATGTTTTTAATTGGAGAGATTGGGGGAAGGAGGCAGCGAGCCAGGGTGAGCTCACCCCGCATGCATGTGGCTGGGCGGAGAACAACTCACGTCCAGATTCCTGGACTGCAGTGGCCCAGCCGCAGGACCGGCCGCTCAGCAGTGGCTCATGCAATGGGCCATTCCCGGGCCTCTGGGTGCAAGCCGACCCAGGTTAGTAGGAGTATATCCCTGGGAACCCACAGAAAACTTGGATCCCTAGAGCCGTGAGGGGTCAGAGCACCAGGAACAGGCAGGTCTGTAATCTACACAACCTGTGGACCTGGGGAATCCGAGGCCCTGGCTTTTGCAAGGGGCTTGGTCACCACCAAGCTCCTCCCACCCGCTCAGTTTCCAGAGAGCTCGAAATCCTATACCGCGCTGATGTGAAATTTGAAGGCTGGCTTTATTTGATTTTATCCTATTTACTTTTCCCCCTTATTTTTGGCTTTGTAGGCCAAGTAAACCAGATGTGCAGGCCCCATTTGGCCTCGCTTTATCCCCCTTTTAGACCACGGGTGTGGGCCTTACTTGGTCAGTTCCCAACTATCATGGCTTAGGCGAGTTAATTTGCTTCTCAGAGTTCTGGCTTCCTCAGATAAAAACGCCCGGTCGTTGAATTTTACTTTTCTTTACTGTCGAATGGCTTTCAGGTTGAGGACAAAGCAGAGTGCCAAAAAGGACATGTGATGGGCTCTGGCACCTGCTGTGAACCATGCATGCTTGAGACTTGACAATGAAATGTGCAGTCCTTTGCTTAGTCACTGGTCGTCCTGACTCTGCAAAGCTGGACACTGCCCATTGTACTCGAAGAAGCAGGCTCGGAGACTGGAATGATTTTATAAACCAGTTTCCCAGTTCAGGAAGTTGAAATTATCCTATGATTTTAAAAATTTAATTAATTAATCCGGGAGGTGGTGGCACACGCTTTTAATCCTATCTTCAGGAATCAGAGGCAGGCTGATCGCTGTGAGTTTGAGGCCAGCCTGGTCTATAGAATGCGTTCCAAGACAGCCAAGGCTACACAGAGAAAGCCTGTCTGGAAAAAAACTTAAAAAAATATATATATATGTAATTAAAACATAACTACATCATTTCTCCCCTCCCTCTCCTTCCTACCTCTACCACGCATGCCCCCCTCCAAGTTCACGACCTCCTCTTCTTTAACCATTGTATTGCATGTACATATAAACAAGTAAACATAAACAACCTGCTGATGCCAGTCAGCATTGTCTACATGCACCTGTTTCTAGGACTTTGTTCTCCATATTGGATAACTAATCAAGGAGCTCACCCCTGGGTAAGACGAATAGCCCCTCTCTTAGTGGTTCTTAATTGTATCTCTTCACCTAGGGGTGGAACCCCTCATCCTCAGAATTTAAAGACTCTTTGTCTTGGCAAGGAGTGGGGGAGGGGAGGGAATCTCTCAAGAGAAAGTGTTGCAGAACCATGCTTAGAAGATTCTTAAGGCTAGGGTGTTGCCTAGGGATAAGACACTACTCCGTTAACACTAGCCTTTTGGAAAGTGAGCAGGCCAGCTATCAAGGGCACGATGAAGTGGATCCCAGTGTGAGCAATGCTAACTGTCCACAAAGATAAGTACTCTCCGGAGGCGTTACACTGTTCCGTCTGGTAGCTGGTCTTGAAGGACTCAGTCCTAAAGAAATAAAAGAGCTGTGGGCAAAGGTCTTCAAAACAGAATTAGCAGAAAATCAAACGTTCACCATAAAGGAAATAGCTTAATATGTTATGCAATATCTATACTAAGAGCGTTGTGTAGCATTAAAAGAATGTAACATGAGAAAATACTTAGAATATAAGAGAAAGGAAAGAATAGAATTAAGCAAACATATACACTGTACTCAGAGATATAAAGAGAAAGGCCCGGGGGGTGGGGGGACATCTCCATGTTAATTCTCTTTGTGGTAGGATTTTAACTTATTTGACTCCATTTTCTTCATTCTTTTGTTGCAATTTTTAGACTGTCTCCAGTGTGCACATTCCATTTTTAGAATCAGAAATGTATACGCTTGCTGTATGTAATGGGCCCTGTCCCGTCCAGCCAGGGTTTACATTTACCTGAAACAGAAGCTGGGCTGTGGAGAGGGTTCAGAAGCTAAAGGTGCCAGATCCGGTGACCTGAGTTTGATCCCCAGGACCTACATGGTGGAAGGAAAGAACCAGCTCTTGCACGTTGTTCTCTCACCCCTACACATGTACTGTGACATGTATGCACTCATATGCATGTATGTGCACACATACAATAAATTAATTAATTTTAAAAATGAAAACTTTTTTTTAAGCCAGAAAGAAATTCAGGTACAGTGGCTGTTACTTGCTAATAGGATTATGGGTGGTTTCCCCCTCTTACACATAAGTCTTTGTATTTTGACTTGATTTTTTAAAATTTTTTAACAATTGGCAAATAAACAGATAAACCTTAAAATAGTCCCCTTCTTTGCTATGGCTGGGTGGGGGTGGGAGAACTGTCCCAGGTTCCAGGTCATCCCCTGTCACTGTTCTGTCTCTGTTTGGATCATCATTCCTGTCCCCTACCCTATGGTGGTGGAGGCGGAAGACTTCTAATCTTACCCGAATCAGTTTTAACCCAATGAATGCAGGCAGCATCTGGAGCCTCCCCGATTACAGAGGAAAGGCTTGGTGTAAGGCTTTAAAACTCTTTTCCCATTTGGTGGTTTTTTGTTTTTTTGTTTTTGTTTTTTGTTTTTGTATGTTGTTGTTGTTGTTGTTGTTGTTGTTTTGTTTTGGCTTTTTTTTTTTTTTTTTTTGAGACAGGTTTCTCTGTGGCTTTGGAAGCTGTCCTGGAACTAGCTCTTGTAGACCAGGCTGGTCTCCAACTCACAGAGATCCACCTGCCTCTGTTCCCATTTGTTGATTTTATTTAACAGAGAAAAACACATCTGTAATAAGGCCACGACTGAGCCAGAGGCAACTTTTCTTGACTTCCTGTCACTCCCTACGCCTGCCTTTTGACAGAGCTTGTTGAGCTTCTGGCTTGGAAGTTCACAACATCTCCTAGCATCCTGGTTGAAAGTAGAGCCCGTTTGTCCTGTGGATGGACGTGCTGGAGTCCGCTCTGGGCTCTAGAATAGACCGTGTCCTTCTTGCTTCTCTCGGCCTCCATCTCTCCCGTCTCTGGCAGCTTCATCAAATGACCAAATCTTTGTGGGCTGACAGGTCTGAGGTAGCTGCAGGATGGGGCTGGTCACCAAGATCACCAAAGCAAGACCCCTGTTCCCCAGCCTCTGGGAAGGAGAACGCCACTGAAGGGTAAGTGGACTCATTATTTCATCAGTCACATACCACAGTAATCCAAAAGGCCAGGGTTGGGAGAGCTTCCAGACAGCTGAGGCCAGGGAAGGTGCTGAAGATTCATGGCAGCCGCTGTCTCCTCTCTCACATTTTGCTCTGCACATCTCTCCTCTTCTTCTTTGTGACTATTTCTCACAATAACCCATTCTCAGTAGCCTGTGGATCCCTCGATTCCATTTAGCCACTTAGGAGATCAGTGAGACATACTGGCTGTCACTCAGAAGTGTCTGGAGATGAGGCAGGCTTAGGGTATGAGGACTTGACCCATGGGGGTTGACTTTACCTTCAGGCAGACAGTATCAGGACTGAGTTGGGTTAAAAGGCCCAAACTAGTGTCCTCTGGAGAAGCAAGCATTTGCTTGGGACCTGGGGATCCCTGTCCACATGGTGTCAGGGGTATGCTGGTATTGTAGAGTGTCAAAATCATCACCCTGTTTTGACAGTCCACTAAAGCAATGTGACAGCCACATTCCCTCATACCTTCCCTCTCAGTCCTCTATCACAGGCCTCCTCACTCAGGAGTCCAAGTTCACAAAAATGAAGCACTTCCTAAAACAAGAGGACAGACAAGTGGGAATTTCTGATATGGCCCGAAATTCTGTCAGCCACCTGTTTCTCTAGACCTGTATACTCTTACTGGGCAAGCCCTAAGCCAATCACTCCAGCCAACACATAGGAATTCATGCTCTCCACAGTGGCAATGGTTTGGGGTCAGTGGGTGTAAGGATTCAGGCATTATGCTGGCCTGCCCCTGTCACCTGGCAGAATGCACTCAGGCAGTACGCTGGTCAGCCCAGGGTTCCATGAGTACTAGTCTGCACTAAGGTGCAAAGGACCCCTTTAAAAGAAAGACCCCCACCCACTTAAGAGCTCTTTCTCTCACTCTTTCCTGCTGTTCCCCTGGGGCAGACAGGACTCTTCCTGTCTCCCTCTTCTCTTTGTCCTTCCTCTGTCTCTGTGTCTCTTTTTCTCTTTTCTCCCCCCCCCCCTTTCTAATAAGGCTTCTCACTAAGCTCTATCTGCCTGGCATGTTTGTCCCTGTACCTTGGTCACCCTCATCCAACATGATATCCACCAAGGTTCCCCCTGAGCTTTATTATCATAACAGTGGAATCGTGTGACACTCTCTTGGAAGTAGACACTCCACACTCTCCAGCGCCTTTCTTTACTCAGGTACTCTTGAGCATGCTTGAGAGAGGACGGTGATATTAATTTAAAGCCATCCTATTTAATCTCATGGCAACACATTTAGGTTATTAGCAGCTAGCAGGTAAGATCCGGATAACAAGAGAAAATGAGACGCAGAGAGAATACAAATCACCAGCACTCTAGTATGTGACCTTGGTAAGTTGCTTAAGCCCCCCGTTTCTTCATCTATCAAATGGGGTAGTTGCTGTCTTATGGGGATGTCTGATAGTCAACTTCACTGGCCCAATGTGTGGCAAGCAGCGAGAACTCTAGAACACAGGACATGCTGACTCTGCACAGCTACAGTAGCAACTCCAGCTGGTGGGGAAAGCAACCCAGCCCGCATGCTTTCCAGGCAGTCAGGTGTCTCTGCTTTGGCTTGAGAAGAGAAGCAGCCCAGGTCAAGCCAGATGACTTGGAAGTGCAAATGAGGCCCCTCCTCTCACAGGCTATGGACCCGCAGTCAGAACCTTCTGCACAGCACTGCCGCCTTGCCCTGAAATGTATTCCAGATGCCCAAGAGAATGGGATTTTTTTTTTTTAAAGCCAAACCATGGAGGGGAAAAAGACTTGAATATTTATCAGACCTCTTGGGGGAATAGGTTGGTTAAACTTAGAAGCGTCAAAAGATCTGTGGAAAAAAAAAATGGATGGAGTCAATGGCGGAAAAATGTGGCACCCGCTGGAGACAGCAAGTGAGGGGCAAGCAGGAGGAGGCGACACTGGAAGAACTCTCATGTGTGTTGTGTTGTGTGTGTGTGCCCATGTGC